TTTTGGTACTGGGGATCGAACTTAGGACCTTGTGCTTGCAAGGCAGGTGGTGGCACCACTGAGCTAAATCCCAGGCCCTCCCTCAAGTCAGTCTTCCATTTCTTTTCTCACCTTGTTGCCTTAATCTAAGCATCGATTTCCTCTCACCAGCCCATTTCCTATCTTCTTGGGATGACTCCTCCCTCCACACCCACATTCTCTCAGGGGTTTATTCTTCTCCCTTATTTCTTTCTATCTGTCCCATAAAACATGGGCTCCACTTACTTCCACAATCTTAAGGCTGTCTTCAGGTGGGTCATCAGGCAGCAGGGGAAAGTGGCTGGGCAGCATCAGTTCCCGAGTGGCTACTGCCTTCACCAGAAGTGTGAGGGAGCGTGATGGTACAATCACATAGAAAGTACTGGCAAGGATTCTTTGGCTGTGTCCTAGGCTTGTGGGTTCCCCTTTGGCTAACAGCAGCCATTCTCTTTTCTGAAACAAGAACGTACATAAATATTGGTTTATATTTAGTGTTTGGTACATTTTGAGGATCACTTCCAGTTGAGGCTTCCCTGAGCTCCTCTGTGGTTTGAGAAGGGCAGAACCATTTCTCTTAGGCCTTGGTAGAGAGGGACCTCCTGCCTGAATCACAAATACCACAAAGTACTACTCTTCCTCCCTGTCTAGGATGTGCCAGAGAGAGAGCACACACACAAAAATTAACAATGGAAAAACAAATTAAGAAATACTCTTCAACTTGAAGTTGGTGTTCATCTCATAGAGACTATTCAATGGTGAATGTGGAGTTTCAAGAATTATAATTACAAGTCTTCCTATAATCATTTTTGTTTTGTTTTGTTTTGTTGGTACTGAGGATCAAACCCAGGGCCTCTAATATGCTAAGCATGAGTTCTACTGTGGAGCTACTCCCCACCTCAGCCAAGAATTGTAATTCTTTGGTTTTTTTTGGTACCAGGGATCAAACTTGGGTCCTTGCACTTGCAAGGCAGGCGGCGGAACCACTGAGCTAAATCCCCGGCCCTGTAATTTTTTGTTTTTGAGACAAGGTCTCACTATAAAGTTCAGGCTGGCCTTGAACTCACAATGTAGCCCAGGGTGGCCTCAAACTTGTGTTGATTCTCCTGCCTCAGCCTCCTGAGTGCTGGGATTATAGGTTCGTACCACCATGCCTGGCAAGAACTGTAATTCTGAAAGGTAATTTTGTGGGCTGAGGATGTAGCTTAGTGGCACCACACCTGGTATGGGGAGGAGAGGGAAGGAGACAGAAGTGGGGAAGACAACAATAAAATGCTTATCTGACCATCAGCCTATCAAAAGTAATCTTGAGGGCTGGGGATTTAGCTCAGTGGCCTGCTGTGCAAGCACAAGGACCAGAGTTTGATCCCTGGTACCAAAAAAAAAAAAAAAAAAAAATCTTGAAACAGAGACTTGTATAAGGTGGTGTAGAAATTCAGGCTTTATTTTGAGGTCAAGGAAGTCTAATTGAGTTTGGAATAAGCTGATTGGGGTATGTCCCTGGAATGCCCAGAGAGGGTTTAAGAAGGTTCTCCAAGCAGCCTGAAGAGTGAGAGGAGGAGGGAGCAGGAAGAGAGGAAAGCTTTAGTAAAACAAGGCTGCAGTAGGTTGGGGCAGGGCCCTTGGGATCCAAGTCACAGGACAAAGCAAAAAGCACAACAGCTCTGTGAATGAATTAGGATTGCACTTTACTGCATACCATGGAGATGACAGAGGTTAGTGGATGGCTGAGGAGAAGAGACAAGCAGAATTATAAACAGATTTTATAGGTTACCCTTTTAGATGAGGAATGGAAATGAGGCAACTTTCTGTGGTAGTTTTCCAAAGACAACCACAAAACCCCAGGAAAGAGGGAGTCAGAATGGTTACAATCATCTATAAATTGTGACTTCTTGCTGGGATGACCACCAGTTACAACTTGCACAAACACAACAGTCTCCTTCATATATAAGATGAAAGAAAACACTAGTTCTACCACTTATGTGAAACTTATATGAAAAATTGGGAGAAATAATGTTAGAAGAAAGGCTCAAAGGAAAAGATTTTAAGGGGAAAAATATCAGTGTCTTATGGAAGACAAGTGGAAAATGATACAGGGATCATTGGATTGAAGTGGCATTGGATTTACACCCAGAAGGAATGCTCTGGGGTGGGAGTGGAAAGGCCTGAGGCTCTGACACTTCAAAGCAGTGTTATCACCCCATACAGAGCAGAACTCTGAGGAGTCTGGTAAGTACTAGCAAGCTATAAGAAACCTGTGAATGTTTCCAGGAACAGGAGTGTATTGTTTCAGTGGTTGGTGACCTCTCTGTGGGGTAGGAATTGACAGATAATTCTAAAGGTTTGGTGCCTCCTCACTAAAAAGATTTTTATTTTTTGGGGGGAGGGTAGGTAATTTGAGCATGGGAAAATTAATCATAACCATAATGATAATCAAAACATTAGGGGCCGGGGATTTAGCTCAGTGGTTCCATTGCTTGCCTTGCAAGCGCAAGGTCCCAAGTTTGATCTTTGGTACCAAAAAAACAAAACAAAACCCCAAAAACCCCCACATTAATGGAATGCTTACTGGGTGCCAGGGATTGTGCTAAGAGCTTTATGGATCCCTTTAGAAGCGCATGCTTTCTTAGCATTTTGCTTATATTGAGACATGCTGTCTTCCTGAAGATGGGTCCAAAATGTGATGGGAAGTCTTCCTTATACTTATAAAAATCCATCAAGTTGGAAATGAATAATATTGAAATCATGATGTATGTGTACATGGGAGTATCTGAATGCCCCAGGGACATGTTTTTTTTAAGCCTGAAAGAGCTAACTAGGAAGTTGCAGGGTATTCTGTTTCAGTTGGCTCAAGTAAATTGCAATGGGGCTCAAGATTTGGGTCCCCTATCTCCCCCTCCCTCCCTCCCTTCCTTTTTTCCTTCTCTCCCTTCTTTCTTCCTTTTTTTTCCCCCCCAGTACTGGGGAATCAAACTCAGGACCTTGCGCATTTAAGGCAGGTGCAGTGCCACTGAGCTACATCCCCGGCCCTCTTCCTTCTTTTGAGACAGGGTCTTGCTCTGTAGTTCACACTGGCCTGTGTAGCCCAGGCTGGTTTTGAACTCACAATTTTACTGCATCAGCCTCCTAAGCATTGGGATTACAGGTGTGGGCTACCATACCAGGCTATGAGGCAGGAGGATCACCACGAGTTCAAGGGCTGCCTGGTCCACATAGTGAGTTTATGCCAGCCTGAACTACATAGTAAGACCTTGTCTAAAAAGAAAAAAAGTAAGGGGGAAGGGCTATAAACTAATGTTTGTCAAAGTCTTAGGGTGATTCACTTCTTTGGCTTGCCTGATTTTAGTTTTGACAGGCCCAGGCAACCTTAGGCTTGGACAAATCAGTATGGTCAGTCATCATTCTTAGATTTCACTGACATGGGTGGAGGGGGTGAAGGGAGGGCTAGGAATGGGGAAAAAATAAGAACCAAGATGCATTATGTAAAGGTACAATTCCCAATGAGAAACTTAATTGTGTTGTATACCTACAATGTACCAATAAAAGAATTTAACAACAACAACAACAACAAGAAAAAGAATAGATTTTACTGACATGATGCAAGGGGGTAAAACAATGGCCACTGAAGCAAGATGCTAGGGAGTGGGGAGGGGATGAATAAAGTATGTTAAATGTATGTATGGATACGTCAGAACCCACTATTCAGTATAACTAATATGCACTAATAAAAAAAAGAACCAAGTGAGAGGTTTGGGGTATATAGCTCAGTTGTAAAGTATTTGCCTAGCATGAACAAGGCCCAGGGTTTGATAAACAAAAAAACAAACATACATACAAAAACCAAAACCAGAGTTATCTACTGAAAATCTTTACTTAGAAGATAACCCCAATCTGATTCATAGTTTGTATGTGTGGTTCCTGCATTTATTAGCCACAGGGTTAGGGGGAGGAAAAATCTCTTTCTCTTCCTTATATATCTTTTCTATAGATCTTGGTATGGATTGAGTGTTTGTATGTATCCCTTCAGAATTCATAATTAAAACCCTACTCCTCAGTGTGATGTTATTTGGAGATTTGGGAAGTAATTAGGTCATGAGGGTTGGAGCCCTCAGGATAGTATTAGTGCCCTTAAAAGAAAAGCTGCTTGGGCTGGGGATTTAGCTCAGTGATGCCACTGCCTGCCTCGCAAGTGCAAGGTCCCAAGTTCCATCCCTAGTACCAAAAAAAAAAAAAAAA